TTTTTTGATTTGTAATTGTTGTTTATAAGAAAAAAAGTTACCACACTTTGTTGTAACAATTCATTTCTTGATGTCAGTATATATGTTAAAATTAGTGACATGGTCTACTATATTATAACATTAATTGCAACAAAAATAATTGTTAGTTATGCACTTATGCTCAGTACTGTAAAATTTATTATATGTGTATTATTATTATATTCGGCCACTAATTAATATATATTTATTAGTATCTTTTAATATTTAGGTTTAGGGTCTTGAAAGTAGTTCAAACACTGTTGTATGGTAGGTCATCTTTAAAGGTGAAGGCTAGGGGCCTAGGGCACATATATATATGTATGTATATATATATATATATATATATATATATATATATATATATATCCTGCAAAAATATGATTTAATATAAGTCCTTGTTTTGTGGGGCTTGTAGCTTGGGCCCTGGATTCTTTTAAAAGGCCTTACAAGTTTTCAGTTATTACAAGATCGACCCAAGTTTGGTGCAATTCTTCAACTTAGCCCATTAAATACTTCCATGTCCATTCTGAAATGTTATCGATACTAATATTGATTATGATTTTTTTTTTTTTTTTTTTTTTTTGAGTAAAAATATTGATTATGATTTTAATACACACACTTTTTGCATACATGCATATACGTACATTTCAACATCCCTTTGACACACACGCAAAGAAAAGAGAGAGAGAGATGTCGTGTCGACCACGGTGGAATGAGCACTGCAGACGAGGCGGCGATAATGAAGGTAGAGTATGAGAAGGGACGATGAGTTGGGATTAAATGATCTGGGAATTGAATTGAGAAATCAGATTTAATTTTTAATTTTGAACTTTTTAACTTTGATTGATTTGTTTTGAGATTTAATCGGCTTGATTATGTCTACTTCATTCTTTATTGGATTTTCAATAGATCCAAAGTAAATCCAAGATGAATCCATTTTTTAAAAATTGTCAACTCGATCTGTCCGGTTTATTTCTTCTCACTAGACTTAATCCAAATTCATCGGATCCATGTGGATCGAAATGAATTTGATCGAACACATAGAACCAAATTCAAATAACCACCCATAAAGATAAGTATCATCATATTTTTATTAGCAAAAAATCCCTCAACAATTGTATGTTAAAAATAAATCAATAATTATTTTTCATATTTTTAAATAAATCCAACTATACCACTTTAATTAGTATTTAGTTAGTTGGATGGTTAAAATATTATTTGAAATAAAAATTATAAAGGACATTGTTTTTCCCTTCTCACCTGGATCTATTGATGTAAATGTATTAATCTACCACAATCCTCGTTTTGTTGCTATTAGTATCAATCGGTAAATAGTAAATAGTAATAAGTAATAGCATATCTACCTGAGGTAATAGTAAAAAAAGAAAAAAGAAGTTATGAAATTGCATTTATATCCTTCAAATGAACAAAAAAACGTGAACGGATACACCCATCAATTTAGCGTTCTGTAGCACTGGATCGGAACCCAAAACTTAAAATCTAAATTAAGAAGCGCCTGGATTCCGCAATATATAAATCTCCTCCGTTCAGAATTCGAAAATCAGACTCTCATCTGTTCGTTTTAGCGCCCTCTCATTCCACGTGAAGAACAAAAATCCTCTCTCTGAAACAAAAATGCTTGCGTTCAAGTACGATCCATTTCTCAGTTTTCATTTGACGCTCGATTATCGAATCGTTGGATCTTATTAACGTTGGTGATTTGAACTGATATTTTCGTTTTGTTTTTTTTTTTGTTGAATTATGATCGGAAGAGCTGAAGAGCAGAGCCAGTTACAGCTGGTCGAAAGGGAAGAAGTCGAAGATGAAGAAGACTTGTTCGAAGCAATTGATAAACGTAATCTCTCAAATTTTAGCTCATTTAAATCTCCTAAAAGCATGATGCCTCTGTTTTGTGTGCATTTGATTTTGATTTGTATGGCAGATCTGAAAATTCTGTTTAATTTAACTCAGATTTCCATGCGATCGCTCATGCTCATTTACATGCTTCCTGCGTTTTTGTTTGATACCCGATGAATTTTGTTTAGTTTCAGAAATCGTTTCACGATTATTTACTGTTATTATGATATTTACTTGCTAACGGAAGTTTTAAATACGATGAAGAATGTGAATGTATTCTGGTATATATGTTTAGATCTACTCGCTCAGATTGATAAATTTTGCATGTTTGGTATGTAAAGTGTAATTCCTGCTCACCAGTTTCCGTTCATGATTGTTATGTTTTTCAGCGTGGTAGTATTGATTTCTGTTTGGGCGGAAAGTTTCGCTAGATTTGGGTTCTGATAGTCATGCGTTAACCTGTTTATGTTTCATGATCGGCGTAATTTTTTTTTTTTTTTTTTTTAACAAATTACAATCGAAAAAAATGTTCTTAGTTTCCCGAATTAAATAATTTCTTCACACTCTGTATAATCTTCCTGAATTAAATTTGATTTAATAGTAGACGTATGGTAAATGGAATGCTTCTCTAAGTTGATGTATGGATGTCTCTGTTTGATAATTAATTTGTCCTTATGTTCATTTTCTATGGTATGTTAAGAAAATTGATGTTCACCTGGAACTGGAAGTTGAATGTAATTCTTCAGTACGTTTTTCGGTGAATTTCCCGATGGAAACTGATTTTTCTGGTAATTTTTGTTGGGCAATATCATGAATCTGTTCTGATAGATTTTCGATGTCGTTTTTGCAGTGACAGCTCATGGAATCAATGCTGGAGATGTGAAGAAGCTGCAGGATGCTGGCATCTACACGTGCAATGGCTTAATGATGCACACCAAGAAGGTGAACACCGAATTACTACACCTCACTGTCTTATGTGTATTTCAATTTACGAATGATCTGAAACCTAATTTTTCTATAAATTGGCCAGAGTTTGACTGGAATCAAAGGATTGTCTGAGGCAAAAGTTGATAAGATCTGTGAAGCCGTAGAGAAGATAGTGGTTAGTGATTCCATTTGATATGTAGTTACTGTTAGTTGTACAAACCTGTGGTGTTGTACTGAGTTACTGATGCTATTTGTTTTTTGTCTTTCGAAAATTTGACAGAACTTTGGTTATATCACTGGAAGTGATGCTCTGCTGAAAGTGAGATTTCTAGTTCCTTTGAGCTGCTTAGTATAATGATTTACGAGAATTGTTGAGTCTTCTAGATTATTAGAGGCTTATATTAAACTATTGTTTGGCTATACAGAGAAAACAAGTAGTTCGCATCACAACCGGAAGCCAAGCTCTGGATGAACTTTTAGGGGGTAATTATGAAATCACCTGTGTTTTTAATTTTATTTATCTTCATAGTATGCACGACATAACTCGTTTTTGGCCATGCTATAGGTGGCATAGAAACTTCGGCGATTACAGAAGCTTTTGGCGAATTCAGGTGACAACTACACTCTTTTTCCACTGACTTGACGAAAACCCTTGTGAAACTTAAAGCAAACTATTTGTTCGTGTTTTCGCTTCTGATGAACTTGTAGTATAATACTCGTAATCCACATTTGTCTCAGATCTGGAAAAACACAGCTGGCGCATACTCTTTGCGTTTCTACACAGGTAATAAAATTAGTAAAAACAATTTATGTCAAAGCTGTTATCTAACCGTTTAATGGGGATGCAACACACACATATGTTTATCCATCTGTCCTTTATGAAGACGGAAATTAAAATCTGAATGGCACATAATTCTTATGCTAATTTTGAACTGAAGTTTCCGTGCATTTGTTTATCTAATTTTTGTTTTCCAATTTCGCAGCTCCCAATTAATATGAAAGGAGGCAATGGAAAGGTTGCTTACATTGACACTGAGGGCACATTGTATCCTTTACTCATTTTTTGTTTATACCATTTAATTCAACATGTTGCATACCTTTGCTTTTATGGCATTAGATTAACAAAAAAAAAAGGTTTTGTTTCTTTGCTTGTTGTTGTTCCTTGAATCAATTTGCTTTCAGCCGACCAGATCGAATTATACCCATATGTGAAAGGTTTGGAATGGATGCAGGAGCTGTACTCGACAATGTAAAGCTTATTTTCCGATTCACTAATGCCCGTCTTTATCAATTGATTTCTGCTATCTAATTTATAATTCTATTTTTTTTTTTGGGAAGATTATCTATGCTCGTGCTTACACGTATGAACATCAGTACAACCTGCTTCTGGGCTTAGCAGCGAAAATGGCTGAAGAGCCCTTCAGACTTCTGGTGAGCTCATTTAGTATTATCATTCTTAATGATGAATCCAGCTATAATAAGTAAGTAGTAACGAGGCATTATTATGTGTTGGAACTGTGTTTTTTTCAGATTGTTGATTCGGTGATAGCTCTCTTTCGAGTGGACTTCACGGGAAGAGGAGAACTTGCAGACCGCCAGGTCTGCCCACATTATTTCATTAATTAATTTATATAAGCTTCAATCCTTAACTATTCGTAAATGTTGATCTCTCGGTTTTGCTGTTTACAGCAAAAGTTGGCTCAGATGCTCTCAAGATTGATCAAGATTGCTGAGGAATTCAATGTTGCTGTCTACATGACCAACCAGGGTATATAATGCTTAACTGCAATCAAGATTTTTCAACTTTGGTTTTTAGTTAATATATTTTCAACTGAACGAAACGAAATTAACTCAATAATTGCTGCTGATTAATTTTGTCGAAATTGATAATTGCAGTTATCGCTGATCCTGGAGGAGGTGTCTTTATTTCGGACCCGAAGAAGCCAGCTGGCGGCCATGTATTGGCTCATGCAGCTACCATAAGGCTAATGTTCAGGAAAGGCAAAGGCGAACAACGTGTCTGTAAGGTGTTTGATGCCCCAAATCTTCCCGAGGCTGAAGCAATATCCTTTTTTATTTAAACGGCACAATTTCTAATCTTTAAACTAACGAAATCATGATTTCCGGGCTCGTTTTTTTATTTCCTTAACAGAAGCACATTTTCCAGATAACTCCAGGTGGAATTGCAGATGCAAAGGATTGAGAGTCTGACAACAAACTTCTATCTGCTTTTACTGATGATGATCCAATTAATTACCTTAATTAATATGCTTAGCTGCTATTTCCAAATTTAAAGCTTTATTATGTTAAAAAAAAAATATATATATATATATAAGCTTGTTTTCTGTGATAAATATGAGGTAGAACAGTGCATAACAAAGCGGGGGTAAATGGTAATATACATTACAAAACCAATATTCCATGCATTATTATTGCTTCAAAAGAAGTGTTATTGTTTACTCAAGACCATAAAAAATGGCGTCATCGGAATTTTTTTCGAGTACGGAGCAGAATTAGTAAGAAACGATGATTTACGCTTCATACGGCTAAATCACAAATACTGCTGAAATTCGTAAACCTCAGCAAAAAACCATACAGAGACAAATAAACGAAAGGCGTAGTAGTTGTTGTTTCAGTAGTGCTTAGACCAATTTGCATCACTTCCGACTCTTGGCATTGCAGTTTTTCCTTTACGAGACTCTGAATCAACTTTGAAGGTCAAACCGCACACCTCTCCTTTGCTGTCGACTCTTGGCACAGCCTTCAACTCGTTGATCGGATGCTCGTAGCTTCGTAGACCTCCAGACGATGTGAAGAAGCATCCTACAACAAAAAATTAAAAAATAATCCTTGACTTAGACTAGCCACAAAATTATCTTTCTCCGCGATATGTAAAAACGAAGGCAAAGGAAGAACGTGACTAAATTTTCTTGCTCAATCAACAAAAAGAGAGAGTTTAAATACATGCAATGCGCTATTCTTTCTACGCTGTTTCAGATGAATTTGATTGAGGTAGTAAAAGTTAAAAACAAGTCGAATAAAGCACAAAACTTATTTTGTTAGTACAATTTTGAGAAACTATTCGACAAGTGAAACGTAAGATTGCATAATGCTAATCTTATCCTGCGAACCAAACGAGCCATAAATAGATAACTTGAGCATATATAAAAAAACTAAAACCACATGGAATTCAAAACTTCCAAATAAAAAAAATAGACGATATATACCTTTGGGAAATGGGGCAAAAGACTTGCCGCAACCTTGCTTCACAACTTCACCTTCATTCGAGAAAACGAGATGACCTTCAGCGTCAGTTCCCCAAAAGAAGGGTACACTCCCATCAGCATCCTGTACAAGCCCGATATCGATCCAAACTCAGTCTTTTACGACAAATACATTCATATTACGTAGTATAGAAACAAAAATAAAATTAAAAATTGAAAAACGTTGGAATAATTGAAGAAACTCACAGAAGCAATGAATGTGGTTTTCGAACTAGTGTCGAAAAGAACAAAAGCGAATTTCCCTTGAATATCCCTCACGACTTGTTCGGCTGGATACGGACCTCTATCCCTCAAAGTCCTGTAAGCCTCGATCACAATAATCGCTTCGTTCGCGTTCTTGTTTAACCCGTATTGCTGCTTCAGATGCGCCACATTTTCGATGTGGCCTTCGAATAAGCAGAATATATCATCCACAACTGCAAATATCCTGATTAAACAAAAAAAAAAAAAAGGATTAGGGAATTAGGATAGTTGATGACTGAGGGAAAAGATCGATATTATCGCATAGGGATGGCAATGGGGCGGGTATGGGGCGGGTTTTGCAATCCCCATCCCCGCCCCGCTATGGAAATCCCCATCCCCATCCCCGTCAAAAATCCCCACGGGTATTAAAAGAATCCCCATACCCGCCCCATAAAATCCCCACGGGTATCGGGGCGGGTAAAAATCCCCGTCTATTTTTTTTCTTTTTTTTTTTAATAAATAAATATGAAATTTACTTATAATTTAAATGTTTATTTCAACAAATAAATCAATATTTAATTATAATACTAATATTTAATTATATAATGGAAACCTAAAAATCCCCATTTTAACTAATATTTAATATATTACTACTATTTAATTATTTATATTTATTATTATAATTAAAAAATATATATTATATATATAAATAATGCGGGGCGGGTACGGGGACGGGTACGGGGCGGGTCTACGGGGCGGGTATAGGCAAACCCATCCCCGTACCCGTACCCGGTCAAAAAAAAATTTCAATCCCCATACCCGCCCCATTTTTTTTCGGGGCGGGTAATACCCGAAAATTTCGGGGCGGGGCGGGGCGGGGATCCGTCGGGGCGGGTCAAATTGCCATCCCTATCGCAGTTCCAACCCCCGCGTTATATCGAATTGCTAAAAAACTAACCCCATTGTTATTTTAGTTTTAAAAACTCCCCTATGATTTAACTTTTTTTAGCAATTACTAACTTGTTTATGGGGTTGTGTTGCTAAAAAAGTTTGAAATCATAGGGGTGTTTTGGTCAATAAATTAATATGAGGTAGTTTTTTTTTAGCAATTCGATATAATAAACCCGAGAAAGATCTAATGATGAATAAGCAGTAGAAACCAAAACCGAAACCGAAACCGAAACCGAAACAGAACTTTTATTCTTAAAATAAAAATATAAGATCATTATTAAAACTCCATTAGAAACTAACTTATAGATCCGATCATGGTAAAAGCAAAATGCAAAACCCAGAACAGTACGACCACCAAAATGAAATGAAAATCAAGAGAGAGAGAGAGAGAGAGAGAGAGAGAGAGAGAGAGAGAGAGAGAGAGAACCTAGGAAGAAGAGGGTTCTGTTTGTCGGAAGAATAGGCGATGAAGCCGGAAGAAGCGAGGTTGATGACGACGGAGCCGGGGTGTACGGAAGAGAAATGGCTGTCCAAGAATCCATCTTTCAGCACAGATACTGAAGATTCTGCTTCCGGGCTCTGTGCTAATGCCTCCGGGCTTTTCGCCACCGATTTATGGAATACTGCCAACATTTTTTTTTTTGTTCTTTCTTCTGCTTTGCTAAGAAAATTTGAAGTGAAAATGGTGATAGGATGATTTGACTTTCTTGAAGAAGTAGAAGAAGGAGAGAGTGGTGGGGCCCACAGCTATATCTATATATACAAATATCTGTGGGAGTGGGGTTAGAGTTTGATTTTGTTAGTTTTTTGTGACGAATATGCCCTTTTATTTGTGGAATATTTTTTGTAATGAAGGGGGTGACATTTTAATTATTATTTTTTGATTGATTTATTTATTATTTAATCGTGAGTCATGTGTAGTAGTATTATTATTTATGATTTTAATACACATGATTATGACTCACGAAGGGTACTTTTGTAATTTTACACTTCAGTTTGACAAAAGTGGTGGCGACCTTATCCAGTAGAAAATGATAACGTGGAAACAGCGAAACTCACCTTAAAATGACTGGACCAAGTGGATAATATAATTATCGTTAATAATAGTTGTATAATCATCAATAATAAATGATAAAGAATATTTAATTATTTATTGAGTTGCAGATTTGTGGGTCAAAGATTGGGAAGATGAGTCATTTTCATATATTTATAAACACGTCCAAAAACTTTTACTAATTTAGATCTGAACCACTTACATGTTTAAAAATTTTAAAAAAGTTTGGTCCATGTGAATATCTCTTGTGCACGAATCAACGGTTTTCTAGATGCTATACTCAGCGATCGAGGCGTTCTTTAACCATTGATCTACGCATAAACACACACACACAATGCATATGTATGTTTATTGAGTAATTATCTATATAGATCTACTGTTCGAAACCACTCAACGTGTTAAATCAGGTGTATATACTCAGCAATCGAGGTGTTCTTTAACCATTGATCTACGCATAAACACACACACACACACACACACACACACACACACACACACATCATGTGTATGTGTGCCTACTGGGTAATTATTTATATAAATCTATTGTTCGAAACCACTCTGCGTGTTACAAATGCACACATCTTTGTGTATGTGTGCTCAATAAAGATCTACGGTTCAATTGGGTCTTCATGGGCCAACAATATGGGCTTTGAACTTTAGTGGACATCTATTATATTTTGGGCCCATTTTGGATTCTAATAATGAAGACCCATTTAAATTTAATAATATAGATATAGTTGCACATTTCAGCAATTAACAGTTATTTATTTATTTTATTTTCTGTACAAAGATGAAAAAAATAACGAAAATGAAAAATCTATTATTTTTTTCTTTTTCCTTCAAACAAATGCAGTCCTATTTTCTCCCATTAAACCATTTCTTTAATTATATAGTTATTAGACATTTTCTATATGTAGTACGGAAACTTTAACTTCTTCACGTTTCCCTCGCCGTATTTTCAGAATTCTAAAAAAGTCTGAGCAATATCGGGAAAGAAAATTCAGTTGGATTAAATATTAAAAATTCAAGTTCAGTAATTAATATTTAATACAGAAGATTAATATTAATTATCCTCTAAAAAGGTTTGAGAAAAGATCAATCATCTATCGGCAACTCATAATAAATCCCATGAGAAAACTAAAGTTCAGTATTTCACATCTATATCTAGATTCCCTAAATAAATAATCAAAAGGACTGCAAAATAAATTACCATTTTCAGTATACAAAACCACACAATTCACTTTCCTCCTCACTCTTTTTACCTTTTTACCGTTCACATTAGAAGCATTTCTAGAGGAAAAATGTTTTCTGAGTGTAATCAGACGCGATTGTATGCCACCGATTTGCTGAACAGGCGACGAATGTAGGCAACCTGAAGTCCACTTACAAGTGCTAGCAGTATGTATTCTGCGACAGTGTAAAATATGACGCGCTTTCTTGTGCTCTCGTTGGCTGCACCAAGAACATACTAGTTAATATGGCATTATTACTAAGCAATTATTAATAACACTAAAAAAGTCAGTTTTTGCTACTATACTTAGGCCTCGTTTGGTTGGTAAGATAATTCGTGATTAATCTACTAACTTCCCATGTCGGCCCGCACTTATGAAAATATGAGCTCTTATATTGGCTTATTGGGAGATTATGACCTATCATACTCTCTAATTATACAACTAACTTCGCAAAGGATTGAATAATTTTATCTTGGCTAGTCTTATTTTAGAAACCAAACAAGGCTTTAATGAGTTGCACTTATCTAAATAAGGTAGAACAAACGGTTTAACCTCATACAAACTAGAATCAGAGATTTCAATTTTTCGGCATTATCTTGTTAATAGAACTGCGAACATAAGGATTTAAATCATACTTTCAGCATACCGGTCGTATATATGATGAAATAACCCGAGCACGAAGTATTTAAAATTCAAATTCCAGTCCATAATTAGGATGTGAAAAGTCTACGGAGGCTTTTTAAAGTGAGGTAAAGTCATACATGTAATTAAGGAATGCCGATTTTCTTGATCGAGATTAAAGATACCCAGTATCTAGATTGTCCTTTTATGTACATCAACACTATAATTAGGAAATATGTGGATAAAGGGTAAAAAGGGAAGGAAAAAAAATCTTACTATGCCGATGACGAGTATCGCGCGCTTTCAAGTAATTCTGCTCTGCCGTAACAGATTCGAGTGCCTCCCTCAGTTCAGCAATTTTGACATTAATGGGGTCCAAATGTTCTGTAAATGCAAATGTAAATGAAAAAAAAGAGAGATAAAAAAAAAATTTAATCGCATCACAGTTACAAATGACTTATTCAACATGATATCATCAACGAGAAATGTAAATAAATTGTACATACCATCCTTTGCGAGATCATGTTCGGTGGGAATATGGCCGACGTGTATATAGAAAGAGACTGTTTCTGGCGTGGAAAATGGATTATGGAAACAAAATTTGTACATTCCACTTTTAGGGGCCTTGAACTCAAATTTGTCACCAGCTGTTCCTTTCATATTGTGAACGGTATCACCCGCTGGAGATGTCACCTATATACATCAAGAACAGAAAATGACCAAGTATCAATATCAACACCCCCGTCAATTAATTTGAGGAATTAATCTAAATCTAAACAAACAAAGCCTTGCATCAACTTTCGTATTGATAAACGTTGTCTTCGCAATAAATGCATGCATACTATGCAGACGTAGCCCAAAATAATAAGCTCTTTCCTAGAACGTTCAAACAGATTGAAACAAAATAAGCAACTTCGGTTTCCAAAACCCCATAGATTATCTCCTTTTTTTTCTTAGTTATAGCCTCGTTTCTTAATTATAGCCTCGTTTCAATCTGGCCAAGTGAAATGTATCTCGGACTAGGTGTTTCGAACACTAACATTTGATAGTCGTACTCGTATACACTTACAATCTAAAACACTCTACTCATAAGCATATCTTCATAATGCAGTATAACTTCACTCAAACTAAGCATTGATCGAATCGTTTAATATTCAACAAATCACATAAGAGCAAATAAAAACCCAAAACAGAAATCAGCAACAATACAAAAACCCCCAAAAATAAAATAAAGCAAATTTTAGCAAAAACTACCAATCACACCCATTTCCAATAACGAATGAACTAAATTATAAACAAGCAGCAATTAAAGACCTAATTAAACAAAAACCCCCAATTTTCCGGAAAAAAACACAAAATTTTACAATACCTAGATCTCCACATCACAAAATTGATTTCAATTTCACAGATCAATACTCATTCACAACGAGAAAAAAAACAACATATGTGTATGTGTATAAGGGGAAGGAAGAAGCAATACAGTGAAGTCGATGCCTGGATGATCGGAGTTCCAGAAGATATCGTGATCGACGACGACGAAATTGCCGGAAACGGTGTCGCCTTCGTACAAAACGTAGTCGTATATGCACTCCTCGTCGTTGACCGTCACCGAAAGCGCCGGCACACGGCTCACGGTGCTCAAAATCAGGAGGCACAGAAGAGCGTACGCCGCCGCGCCGCACCGGATAATTCCTCCCCTCCTCTCCATTGTGAACTGGATCTAACTATCTATTCGGAGCCCCGAAAGTGAAGTCGGTCGTCGTGTAGCAATATTATGTGAACTGGTTTTTGGGTCTTTGATTTGTGTGTGTGTTTATCTACGTGGAGTGATATTATTGGATACCACCACGCAGCACGTTCGTTTGTATGAAATGAACGACTGTTTACATTTCAATTTACAAATTGATTTTCGGAGTTTTTTAATAAATAAAAAAAAAACAAATAAAGATGATGAATTAATTTAAAAAAAATGAGATTACGAGTTAAGTTAGTGATATGTGTTTAGTTCTAAAAGGTGGTGTGTTTGTAATTTCTATTAAAAGTCAATTTTAAACAGTTTAATAATTTATAATTACCAACTTCTGCTTTTAAATAAGTTTTTGCCGACATTACTAAGAATCATTCATCCATGGTGTTTTTATATTTTAGTATAAAACATTTTATTTTAAGAGAATGTGAAAGTGAAGTTAATACTGCAGACATTTCAAAAGTGACTTTGAAAAAAAAGAAAAAAAAGAAAGATTATTAGTGTTCGCATAAGATTTTGAAAATTGATTATTAGCTTTTTAATATTTTGCTTATAATCATTTTTTCTTATATACTCTATTGGTCAAAATTAATCAATAAAATGAAATATATTAATTGAACGAAAATAAATGGACACCCTTCCAATTAAATCCCCAAGCCCAGAGTACTAAATTATGGGCCGCAAAATGGGAAATCCGTTTGGGCCAAAAACTCACAAATTATATGTTGCATGTATACTTTTTACTTCGCAAGTCGGAACGGAATTTTTGAATTTCGCGAATTTCAATCCGATTTTTCTCGACTTTGGAATAATTATCTTTATCTCGATTTCCTATATTACAATTTCCAATTTTTTCCTTTTTCTGGGAATTGGAATTTTAATTTTAATTATATTTGGAAATTTCAATTTTCCGATCCAATTTTGTTATCCAACCAAAAATATTATCAGAAAGGCTTATTTCCAATCATCCGATCCATTCAACTTTCAGCTCCAATACAAGTAAACATGAATCATCGAAAAGTAATGCTAAATATTACCACCAGATATATAATAGTATACAGTTAAACCTCGATAGATTAATACAGCCGGGACCGACAAAATTCTATTAATTTAACGAAATATTAAATCATCGAGCTAATATTTTAGTACGTTTTTACTGAGTACGGACTATATAAGAAAGTATTATTTAAGCGAGGTTAATAATTTATCGATATTCTACTGTATATAGGTAACTAACGTAAAATTAAATGGTTATTCACAGTTGGGTGGATTTCAACTACAAATCTACATATAATCACACACCCATGTATATGCGTGTTTTTAGTGTGTAGTTATTCAATCAAATTTAGCGATTAAATTTCACAGAATGTAACAAGTGGTGAAATGAATCATGGTGTATAGAAATCTAGAATGATCTAAATTTTTCCAAGTAGACTTACAATTGTGAGTCCATAAGCAACCACGTGAACAAACAGTAGTTTCTTGATTTTAACGGGCGAAAATCAATTTACGTGGCCGCACAAATATCCACCCCTTTTTTTTTTGTTTTTCCAATTTTGTCCTTAGCTCCAAAATTATGGGCAATTGGCCAACCCCATGCACTTTATATAAATACCCCATGATTTCCACCTTATCATCATGCACCAGCAACCTCCATTAAAAGCTAAGTTGAATACAGCTAGCCATCCCCTGCAATCAATACTATCTCACCTAACTCTTGCTTTCTCTCTCTAAAAGTTTTATAAACACAGCTTCTTTCATTTTTTCTCTCACACACACTAAAACACACACACAATGGCTGCTGCATCTTGCTGTGGAATGTCTGCAGTCACTTATGGTAGCCCAGTTGCTACAAGGAAGGCTGCTTTGAGCCAGGGTTTTGGTCCTTCTAACCTTGCTTTGTTGCCCATGAAGAGGAACATGAAATTTAGTGTTAGAAGTATGGCTGAGGTGAGTCTTTTTTACAAGATTTATTGATATATATATGTATGTGTATATGTATTTATTTCAAGATCTGGGTTAATTGTTTCTTGATCTTGACAGGGAGATGAGATCAAGGAGGTTCCGGCGGCGGCGCCGGCGACGGCAGCCACTCCCAAGCTAACCCCACCACCACCACCACCACCAGCAAAGCCCAAGGTATACTTTTATTATAGCTTAGTTTGTTTACTTCTGATGGCTAATTTATAACATATAGTTTTTATTATAATTTTGTCTTGGGGTGTGTTAATTCAAATTTTTAATTTTATATCCATAATATTCAAAGTGTGGGGCTAAATTATGCAATAAAATGTTTCTAAGGTGCAATAATGCAATTAACAAATAGTAATAAATATCTCTATATAACATAATAAAGCATAAGAGTAACATTGTGTAGCTATAGCTGTATGCTGGCTCCCCCACTGCTCGTGCGCGTCGCAATTTTTAGAATTAGTTACTGAAAATTTGATCTTTTTATAATTTTTTCCTAGGTGGGCACGGACTTCTTCGACATATTTGCATTCAGCGGCCCGGCGCCGGAAAAAATCAACGGGCGCTTGGCGATGGTTGGATTCGTGGCGGCATTGGGTGCGGAATTAGCGAGCGGCCAGGATTTATTCGCGCAGGTTTCGGAGGGTGGATTCCCGTGGTTTCTCGGTACAAGCATTTTGCTGACGTTTGCATCCGTGATTCCGTTGTTTAAAGGCGTGACCGCGGAATCGAAATCGGAGGGGTTTTTCACGTCGGACGTCGAAACATGGAACGGGAGGTTCGCTATGTTGGGTTTGGTTGCATTGGCACTCACTGAGTTTGTTAAAGGTGGAGCTCTTGTGTAATTTATTATTCTAGGGTTTCTTCGATTTATTGGGACTTAGGTATTATGGTTCTTGATATTTTTGTATTTAGTTGGTGGGATTATGATCTTTTGATTGTAATTTTGTGACTGTTATTGAATTATACAAATATATATATATGTGCAAATTAGAATGCATGAAAAATCTGGATTGTTGAAGGATGTTGGAATCTTGTTATTTATTTATACATATATGGCCATGAAATTGGATGGAACAGAATTGAAAAACTAAACTCAATTATGTTTAAAAAATAATTGAAATTTCATACTTGTACTAAAATTATGTTGAAAATTGGATTATTTGTAATTCATAATGTAAAATATTGTCTCAAATCAAAACTTTTCTGGAATACTACCCTTTCAATTTTGACTAGTAGTCAAATGGTCCAAAATTGCTCGATACTGCAGTACTGATAGTGACAATTAAGTAAAATTGAATCCCACTTGGTTATCATGTTTAGGTAGCCCTTCCAAAAAAGTTTAATCTATGAAATTTTTCCTAGATATAGGCTAAATTACAAAAGTAGCCCTATCTATACGCAAGTATCAAAATCTTCTCCGTTTGTTTCCATCTTTCAACCTCTTATAGCGTGAAGATTTTACGGATCTTTTTTATTCTAAGGAATATTCTTCAAAAAATGCCGGTTCTATCCCTACACACGGAACATTTTTCTATGCTACTTTTCCCTCAGGTAACCTTTACACAAAATCTTTATTCTTCTTAGATAGCACATTCACAACTATCTGAAAGTCATTTTTGTCTCTGAAAAATAGCATAAAAAAATGTCACGTATGTAGAAGTAGAATTGGTATTTTTCGAGAAGAATTTTCTAATATAAGAAAGATTCCGTGGAAAAACCACATTGAAATGAGGTCGATGTAAGACGGAAAACAAACGTCCAGGAGATTTTTGTAATTATGGATAAGTTGGGGGTGTTTTTCATGATTTAGCTTAAGTTCAAGGGGATTTTCGTAATTTCAAAAAATGAAATCATCTATGTAAGAGTTCGTTAAACGTAAGATATTGTACGCATTACCAACAGACAGCACGTGCAACGCGCACTGAAAGCAACAGCACGTGCGATAAGGTCCAAAATTATGGTTCTGGACCAATTTTGATATTAAGTTCACAGCTCCAAAATCATAGATTTGCAAAAATTTTAGGACACGTTACAGTGATGATATCCATAGGAAAAGACATACATCTATATACTCAAGGAATATAAACAAAAAATGAATTGAAAATTCCTTCCTATTACACGTGTGTGTATATATATGTATGTATATGTATATATAATATATGTACATTACACTTAGAATCTCATTATAAGGTTTACAAAAAAACTCCACTATACAGGAATCCCTACTTGAAGTCCGTTTTCTTTCAGCTCTCCGTTTACGGGCTTCTCCACATCGTGCTCGTATATTTCCTGTATTTCGATACAGATATAACAATCCATTAATATATCTCACTGCAAATTTTTTACACTTCTTTAGGGTGTCCTGAGTTATAGTCGATTACTCGATTTACTGAAAAAAGTTTGTTTTCATTTGTTTCGACTTTACAATGAAAGATTACCCTTTAAAGCGACAAGCCTACAAACAAGTTAATATTTATATATATTTATTAGGAAAAATGACTATTGGTGATTATTAGTATAATATATGCAAATGCAAGGCAAAAATATTATTAAATGGAAAACGATACTTACTTCTACGGGGACTGGGAATAAGTTAATGCTGCTCGGACTGAAAGTGAAACCACTGCATAAGACCGCATTACATAATCAAAACCCATAAAAGAAAATGTAAAATCTTCGGCGATTAAATAGTATCCAGTGATTAGGACATGTAAATTATGTTCAAGAGCAATACCCGTGCGATAATACCAACTGCCACACATACGGGATGAAGAATTCCTCAGGATGACTCTCTTGTTCGTACGTGAAACGTAACTGCGTAAACATCTTTTCCAAGAACAAAAAATTGGGTTAGATAATAATATTATTAAAGCATCTAAAGAAATATACAAACGTAAAGAAGCATTTACTTAATTTACCTTCATGCCCTCGCCTCTCCAAGATCGACAGTTGTTGATTATGACTTCAAGTAGTTTGTCCACCGACCATTCTCTATCTGCTTTCTGTGCATCAACCCGTTTATTAAAGAAATCCAATACCTGGTATAGAAGAAAGTTCCAAACTTGATATTGTTAGCATTTAGCAATTAAACTGCAAGTGAATTTACTTACGAACTGGGAAATATATTGTCTTCTGAGCACATACAGTATATATATTTTCCAACGGCTCGATAAAACGTGGATGATTTCTGAAAGGTAGAAAAATTTCCTGCCTGTGCATTATTGCATAAACAACCTGAAAGTTATATCCACAGTAAGCTAAGTTATGCAATATACCAACGAGAAAATGAAAAAACGAATTGAAAAATCAAATGCAACTTTAATACCTCGCGGTTTCGAGGCAATGCGTAAGTTAGGATTGCGTTTATTATCTCCAGCACAAGTCTCAGGAAGTCAGTATATATATGCAGTTCAGCTGACTGCACCATAATGAATAAGGGTCAATAATGTCTCTATTACAATCACATAAAACAAGATGGACTTCCGTTGCTAAATATATCAAGAAAATAAATTTGTTACCGGATCATCAGGAAGGCCGACTCCTCTTAAATCATCATTATATGATGTGTTCATCTTGTTGTTCTTAACCTCCGCTAATTTGTTATACCTAAAGATTGTGATATTTGAAATAACGAATCAGATTTGACTATGAATGTCTGGATTAATGATTATTGAACAAAAATAAGATGAGACATACTTGCGTGAAAGCATATCAAAAAGGCTAACCAACCGCTGCGCCGCATATGAACTCAGTCTGTGAACATGTGGTGCCATGTTTGCCAAAGTTGCGAGACAATTAGTGTGGAGGTAGATATCCTGTTGCCATAAGAACGTCGAAAACACCAAATAACCGAATAAATTGCTATGTTGCACTCAAGATTCCAAATACATTATTCATAAGCAATAAATAATGAATCTTAAAAAAAGATGATACATTAAGAATGCATTACGACTTACCCGTAGCTTAGAGAGATTGAATTTAACAGTCCTGATTAAAATTATCACCATGAGGGAACCAAGAGAAGTCTGATAAAGGAGGCGTTCTTGATACCATGGAACATTAGGAAGAATCTGTAAGAATAAATATTTGACTAAGAAGATTGAACCTTAAGACAAGATTCTTATACTATGGACGAATCAAAACTATCTTTACCAGTTCGTGGATGCTGGCATTGAAAGAGGAATCTTGACTTAGTATAAGAAAGATTACAAGAACCATGTATATATGATTGGACGTCCTGCTAGGGGCATTATATAGTGTCTCCAACATGGGCATCAACTGTTAATCATAAAAGCCATTATCACAACAAAATTTAAACCAAACGTAGAATGGATGCAAATGACCAGACAAACACTCGGAATAATTTTTCCTAAGCTACCAGCAAATTGTACTGATACTCGCACATTGAAAAAGAAAATCATAGTGAGAAAAAGTAGTTTCATAGAGCATGCTTTTCACATAGGACAAAATGATGAAAGTAGACTACAGTGGATGTTTCAACTTTTCCAATAATATCTACGAGAGTTTTTAACACTACTGCAATTTATATAACAAAGAATATTAATGCCTCTTCTCTAATATACTATATACAATTTCTTTATTAGGTTGAGGGCATATGAGGTGATTCTCTCCATGAAAATGACCTAATATACGATTAGGGATGTGAAAGTTTCGGATTCTAACCAGTGTATCTACATCTGTTCGCACCAAAACATACGCCAGAAAATCAGAATTTCCATGCAACAGTGAATAAAGCAACAGAACAGAGTTTTCATCTGCCAAGCACCTGAAAAATAAAAATACCCGTTCAAGAGGTGAGAGATAGAGCTAAAAACGCAATTATTTTGATTTTTGAGCTCTTTAGACAAGCATTTTCATTCGTTGTCCTAATGGGGTGGGGTCAGGGGGGTAGAGGTAGGGGTGGTAAACGAGCCGAGCCGGCTCGCGAACTCGACGAGCCGGCTCGACAAAGGCTCGAACTCGAGCTCGGGTTTTTCGAGCTCACGAGCTCGAGCTCGAGCACAAATTTAGTTGTTCGACAGCTTGCGAGCCGGCTCGCGAGCTGCCTTCTTTTTTTTTTTTTTCTTAATTTGTATATATATATATATATATATATATATATATACATAATTGACTCGATGAGCTCGAGCTCAAGCTCGGCTCGTTCACACCCCTAGGTAGAGGGATCCGTGGCTGCAGACACTTAATTTTTTTTTTTAAGATATAACTCCTCCAACCAAAATCTAAATATAAAGCAACCTACACAAGAGCATTTATTTTTTTAAGAAACTAAAATAGAAAACTAAATCATAACCTACCAAAGTCATACTTCAAATTCCATATTCATATAACAAATAGTCCTTCCTGCTAACCAAAATAACTAAAACGAACACAGTTGAAGCTCTAGCAAATGCAAATCTAAATTCATGTCATGTAACTCGTACATTTATATAAACCTTTTACGGCGATTTTATTTGGCAAGAACAGATTTGTCAGTAAAAGATGACAATAAGAGGATTCAGAGGGTTAATTGTCATATAGCACAATTACTGAATTCAATTTCCCATGTAAAGCAGAAGCTAATCGAAAAACTTACATGCCAAGAGTATCATAAATAGAAGTGAAAGGTAGTCTAATAACCGGACCACTGTGTGCATTCCCCTCTATATCATTGTGATCAACTGCAGGCAGACCACTCAAAGACTTAAAGATTTAAGTATTTCCAAATCCTCATTCTTCAATAAAAAAGATAAAATATCTCGCAAAGTAAAGGACCTTACATTCAATATCCTGGACATTTTGTAGTGCTTTGCGGAAAGGGTTTTCAGAAAAATATGTTTCTTCCTTGAGGAGGGTCTCGGGACTGCTGTTATGACTTTTATCCTTCACATAGTCAACTAATATACATTTATGGTAATAACTAGTAATAAGTAAAACGTTAGGACTGCCTTCTGCTAATGGACTCTTTGAATCTTCACCGTTTCTGTTGGCCAAGTAATTGAACGGAAATAGCATTAAGTTTGCTGCAAGTATGAATTACATGTCAGTCAGAAGATGAATAAAATGGAAGTCGGAAAAATAAAATACTAGAGAACAAAGAACAAAAGCATGTCTTGAAAACTAGAGTTGATAATATATTTGATGCTATTGCCTTTAAATTACTTAGCCAACTCAAATGGTGAATCTTCAAGGAGTCCATTAGCAGAGAAAGCAGTCTTAATGTTTTACTTATTACTAGTTATTACCACAAAATGTAAATTAGTTGACTATGTGAAAGATAAAAGTGATAACAGCAGTCTCAAATTGCTGGAAGTATGAATTACATGTCAGTCAGAAGATAAACAATAGAAGTCAGGAAAATATAATGCTAGATAACAAAGAACGAAAGCACGTCTTGTAAACTACATCACCATCTCCTATGGGCAAAGACAAAGCAGAGAATCTAAAACTAAACAAGGAAAACTGACATTTTGAGAACTAAAGGTGTCAAAACCATTAAAAATATGTTACAATTTAAAATCCAAAAACACAAATTCAGCAACATAACAGATGTTCCAAGTCTTGAATGTGAACAAAGTGAACAATAATAATGCTAATTTATAGAATATTTTACATAACATGTTCTTATGTTACTTGAAATCAAGATTCAACCGAATAAGAGAAGGCAATAGATTTACATCACATATTAGTTCAAAAGAAATAGATAAAGGGATTGGGCAATTTCATACCAGCTGCAGAGCGAACTCTCGTTAGGACACCACGCTGATTTCCTTCAGATAATATAGAAAATGAACTGTCTACAGGAAACTGTGGGCGTGTGATGTAATTCAGCAATAACTTGCGGACAACAAGATTAACCAAAGAACTTTCCTGCAGAAACAACAGTCAATAACCGGAAAAAGAATTGCCGACTAGATTGAAGCTCTTAAAGTAGCTTGGATTCACCTGAGCCATTGCTGCATCGATAAAAGGGTGGACATCATTCGGTCCTGGTGTTGGCCCAGAGAGAAGTTGAGTAGACATCGCAATCAATATGAAGTTGAGCAGCTCTTGATGCAGAAGATATGTTCCAGGACTACAGAGAAAAATAGTGGTGTTATGGATTATATATATCAAGAAGAACATTCATGGACATATGTCATAAATCACAGCATACCTAACATCAACGTTGGCAATAAAGCTAAGTGCACTGAGCATGATAAGGTTTTCGACATTTTGACCTGCTTTGTAAATGACAGATATGATTAACAAAGTAAAGTAAATAAACTGCTCCAAAATGGTCTAGAAATAGGAAAATTTAATAAGTAAATTATTAAGGTCATAGTGTAACAATGAGCGGAAAGTTGGAACTGATCATGATAGGATTGAGAATTGAAAGAAAATAATATGACCTTGAGTGTAACAATTCATGCTTTATAAAAAAATTACGTGTAACTGGAAAATGCCTTTCCACTCAATTTGAGGGAAACGGATCATTCTTTAGTATTTTTTGAATTATACTCCATTTCTCCACAAAAATAAAGTCAAGAATCTCTTAGTGCATCTTCATTCTTCATTATAATGTGATAGAAATATCACACGGCTACATCATTTATTGGACTATCATCATTCTTCCTCATAAATATTGCACGCTCAAACACGCCATTATAATATGTTTCGTGGCATATCTCTCTATATGGTGTATGATTGACCTCGGCAAGTTCAAACAGCAAAAAAAGTCTTGGCACAAGCGCATGCATCATATGCAACCCAAAAAGAATGTGAAATTTTATTTCTTAATACAGTCCACTCATTTTTTTTCATGAGAATAGCACACATGAATAGGATTATAGAGGGGAAAAAAGTAACAAAGTTCCCCAATGCAGAATAGGCACGAATGAGATGATAGACCGTAAAATTTAAAGATAATAAAATAAAAGTTGATTGCAGAACTGGAACCTTTTACAAAATTACTGGGCACAGGATCAGTTTCTTCCAGCGACAAGTATAGTTCTTCAAAGTTGTCACTCTTAGAATTCTCGATGACATACTTCAGAAAAACAGATGATATAAACAAAGCATTAAGAGCTTTTGAGAAAGCAGGGGATGCCACATCAGAAGCCGAAACACACTCTTGCAAGCACCATGCTAGGTGAATCAGAATCTTTGTGAGGTGCCTTGTACTACCATTATTCATTGCTGCAAACAAAATATAACCAAAAAATAAAAAATAAAAATCAACACAGTAGAAAATGAATCTTAAATATCTCGCAGAGATTTATAAATTACCGTCCGCATAAACATTGTTTACATATTACATGAATTAACTTCTCTAGCCAATGTTTTCATAATATTCTAAGACGAATAACCTGAGTAGCTGCTAACACATTTTAATTCAAACTTAGTACGATTATGAATTTATAACCGAACAAATCGATAAGAAGAAACTCTGGAGCTTCTGTTCAATCCATACGCGGAATAATTATTACAGTGAGTATCTCCTAACTTACGCTGAAAGAAATAAATTCAAAATCCCTAAAAACAGATCAAAACGGCATGATTGGATAATCTACAAAAAAGAAATATCTACTGTGAGAGTGAATTACAATGCAACATCAAATTGGCAAAACTAAATCATACTCACTCACGCGAGCTCACACAACAATCAAAGCAAACGAACGAAATAGAAAAAATTCAAGCGAACGGACATTAAATGCAAAAAAAAATGAAAGAACGGGAGCGGCAATGCACTGACCAAACATATGGCAAGCTTCGCGAACGCGATAAGACGGCCAGCGAAGATCGAGTGGAAGCTCGAGAAGCTTCTGCCAGTAGTCCGAGGCAAGGGGAAACGATTTCTCGCCGACGAATTCCCCGATCAAGTACTCGGCCGTTTCCTGCGGCCACGCTCCGCCGCCTGCTCGCGCCGACGATGGCACTCCGCCCATCCTAGCCTCCAAACACAAAATTACTGGTTTTTTTTGCGTAACTAACAATGGCGATTTAGATCTGAAGGGAGGAATTTAGTGAGTGGAAATTTTTATTTGGGGATTTTTTGAATTGATTTGTTGGAGGAGACGGCGATTACACGATGATGGTTGGACATTAACGCTGAGACTGAAGACTCACCTTCGTTGACGGAATTGCCCTCGACTTCTATCTCGTTCGTTTCATTTCAAATGAAGTTTTGAGGGGCAACATGGTCATTATAAATGTGATGCAGCTGGGAGTTCGTAGTCGTTCACGTGGCAACGGTCCTCCACTCGCTGATGGGAGCGTTGACTCACTCTCCAATATGATGTCATCACTCACGACGTCGTATTAAAATTGGTGGATGAATCAATGTTGCCGACACGTAGATATTCGGGGTATATACTTCATTCTTTTGGGTAAATTATAACCAACTCCCTGAGGTACAGTGTAATTATAAAAAAACCCCTTAGTTTTTAGAACTTTTTTTACATCCATCCTTACAAAAGAGTGTTGATGCAAGAAATCTACAATATGTGAGGAATTGATGTAATTATAGAAAATTGAGGGGGTTTGTCATAAATAGACCTTAATTCAGGGGAAGGGTTGCACTTTACCCTTTTTAATTCATTTGGAGATGTGTTTGTTTCCAAAATTATTTAAGTGGAAAAAAATTCGAATATAAAAACTTGTTCTAAAATCGAGTGTTTTCGAATCAAAATCGACGAAATTCAAAACTATTCGAAATTTGTATTAAAAGGACAAACATAATCTATACATACAAAAAACTCTTGCCTTTTGATCATATTGAAAGTATAATCAAAACAAATTAATTGTCCCAATTTCATCATGATTTATCATATCTCCCCAAAACCCTCCATCAAACAATGTCTCGTCAATTATTCGCTTGTCGAAATCATCTTCGTTTACTACTAATCGTTCCTCCTCCGAATTATTAATCGAGGGTTCTTGCATGCTCATTGCCAATCTCTCAAACTCCACATCGAATTCCTCCGGCTCTAACTTAACATCAGACACATTTCCATCCTCAAAATCTCCAATAATATTTCCAACGTTATTATTACCGACTCCTAATTGTTGCCCTAATTCTTGATCAATTCTCTTAATTCTCTTCTTAGCCTTAATTTTCTCTTTGTGATGGACTATTTGTTGCAAGAAAGTGGGATTCTTGATCGCTTTTATCAAGAAACCCATTGTTTGCCGTTGTTTGAGTTCCGTTTCTCTTAGGCGTTGCTCGATTTCTTCGAGATACGAATTGGCAATTTGCTGTTGTTGTCTGAGTTTCACTAGTTCGGCCATTAGGACACTTTTGTCCCTCCTCAAACGGTCGATTTCTCCATCCAATCCAAACCGTCCAATTTCAACGCACGATTCCAATGTTGTCTGAAAATTAGACGATGTTGTATTTTTCCTCCTCTTGATGTTTTTCAAGAGATGCCTTTGTCCCCTTAGAAACCCTTCATTAGCAAACTCCCATTTGTTTGGATCAACTTTCCTAAACCCCTGCACAAAATTTTCATTTTAATTCCCTTGGTCTTTAATCTTATATATAAAGAGAACCTGCATCTATATACTTCAAAAAATTTTCAATATAAATTACGACCACCAATGAGTTAAGGTCAAATTACGAAAACCCCCTTCATGTTTGGGTAATCACAATCACCCCATCAACTATGAATCTTCTTACACGTCCACCCTTGTGGTCTCAACTTTAGTGGAATATTCTCCAGTTTGTGCCCGTTTCACCATTCGAGCTCCACATTTTGAAACAATATGACCATAAGATGTGTCTATTGGCCAGTAAATATCAGATTGTGGTGCATCAAAAACTGCATTTTTGCACAAAACGAGTACAAACTATAAAACATCCCACGGAATCTAGAAGATTCTGTTGAATTTGGCACCATAAGCGTGGACGTGTAAGAAGATTCATACTTGAAGGGCAGTTGGAATTACCAAACAAAAGGGTTTTTTTCGTAATTTAACCTTACCTCAATTGTGGCCGTAATTTACCCTAAATTTTTATAAACAAGTATACAAGAAATGAATATATGGACAAAACCCCAAAAAAAACAAGTATATATATATATATATATATATATATAAACTTACATAGGTGTTAAGCTGCCTGACAAAGCTTGAGAAATTGTTGTGTTTGAAGTACCTGGGAAGAAGATTGAGTGTAAAAGAGTGAGGATCCCAAATAATAAAACTATTGTTACCTCTACTCCAAGAAACAATCTCATCTGTGTTTGGATCATCCACAATTTCATATGTTTTGCTCATAAATGGTGTGGGCCCTGCCACGTGTAACCCCTCCATTGGTTGTGGCATTCTATTTTCCATTTTATTTTTATTTTTTTGTAGGAACAAATATATAATAAATGTGTGTGTGTGAAAGATGGAGTTTGTCTCAATATCTGAAACTAGAGAATTAAGGAAATATATATATGTGTGTGAAAAAAATAATGCAAGTTTGGTGATGATTATTATACTATTATATTATTATATTATTTATTACAGTAAGACTAATGGAATTTGGACAGGTGGAGAGATGATGACGCAAGCAGGATCTAGTGATATTTTCATGTCCCCATTTGGTTGTTTCTTTCTCCTTCTTAAGAAGACTACCTGGCACAAAAGTGACATTTTTTTATTATTATTATTTATGTTATTATTATTATGAAAAATGCTGAATTGCTATATTTAGTGAAAAAGTGAAAGTTGTTTTATGGGACCTCAATAAAAGCAGGTTCAATCATGTTTTTTGTGTTAATTAGTTTTTTCATTATTAAATTAATCTTTTAAATCATGGAAGAGATTCATCCACGTCTATGCTTGAAAAAAAAATTTACATGACACGTGGACAATTCTGATTGGATATGTATCGTGGTATCCCCTCTTTTATTCTTATTTTTTGTAGTCAACCACATACTTCATTATCCAAATTGATTTGAAATTGCTCCAGCTCCAACAAAAAAGAAGATAATAAAAGGTTATAATCCTAACAAACAAAATTAAATTTTTAAAAAATAATAACAATAATAATAATAATCAGAAACTCACCATTAATTATGATAATTGCATAATTCAACAAGATTTATCTTATTTAGTTTCGAAAAATCACAACAGACCATCTAAAACGACGAGTAGTTTCAAACGCACAATCTTCTACAATTACCAGACAGTCGGTTCGATAATTGGCATGGTATAATTCTATATATAATTGGCGTTACGATTATTCGACTGCAACCACCAACGGATATTCGATTCATACAAACCTTTTTTAACAATCAGTATATATAGCGGAGACCTCAGGCCCATTATTTTCACAAACTCGGTTTTATATTACACGAAAACCATTTTAAAGAAAGCTCATAAAAGTCATCTACCAGTTTCCCTCGTCTTTAAATGTATATTAAAAAAAACGGGTTTAAGCTGCAGCATCAACGACCTTCTCCACAAAAGCTTCCACATATTGTTTCCTGCACACGAAAATATACCCGTCTATCATTATTTTCTGTTTATATATATATAGTCTCTTTTTACTTTGGTTATTGTTTCTTGTTTATGTGATCTCGTATTAGGGAATGGCGATATTGTAATACTGAGAAAACAGAAAACGAACCTTGCAGGGAGATGGTCGTGGGGGCGATTAAACGGGGTCCACACAGGATCGCCAACAAACAACCTCATAGCCTGCATATATAGGATTTTATCGAAAACACAGATATTACCAAGTTACATCATGCGAAACAATGACGATTATACCCTTACTTCAGAGAACCTAAAATTTTTTAGGAGCAAAATTTAGCTCTTTTAAAACATTATTAGCAATCTTGTTCCCTAACTTTTACCTTGATGTAATTGTTCGAATCGAGGGTAAAACGGTGATAAATTCCAGCTGGCAGAACAATCATTGCCCCTTTCTTCACCCACACGCGAATCCAAGCTTCATCACGGTCACGCACATCGAAGTAACCTTTCAACGCAAAACATTGTAACAACCATTTAATTATATAAGACCAATTTATTTATTTATTAAACAAAAAGAAATTTTATTTACCACTTCCTGCAACACAATAGCGGATCTCCTCGTCTGTGTGAAGATGCTCTTCGTAAAAGTTCTTGATCTTCTCTTCATAGTTTGGCAGTTTTTCAGGGCAAACTTCGCAAAAGTCCTGTAATAAAAAGTTACGTTGTTATTAATATTTTATTACATTGTAAAATAACAACTAATTTGGAGACAAAGATGATCGTATTTAACGATAGCATACAGTGTAAGAATATCCACGAGCTTCACGGATTTTCTTCAACTCGGGATCCGTTTCGTAGTTGTCAGCATCTAACTTCCAGCTAAGCACACCGAGCTCTACAATATTTGCAAAGCAGCTGAACTTAGATTGCTCAAACATGCAAAACTAATTCCACTTTTGCTAAAAGAAATCAGGAAAATCCGAAATAGGAATTTCGGATATTGGAATGAGAAAATCAGAAATTTTAGGATAAGAACCGGCAAAATTTGGAAAATTCCAACTTTTTAACACCTACAGTACAAAATAATTAGTGTAATTACCATTAAAAAAAAGTCCGAAATTTGGAAATATTTTCAGAAATTAAAATAGGATTGAAAAACGGAATCTAATATGTTCCAATTCCATTCCAAAAAAAAATCGGAAATCGGAAACCGTAAGAAAACATAGTGCAAAATCGGAAAAATTCAGATCGGAATCGGCGGAATCCAAAATTCCCGTTCCAATTTCCAACCCTAGTCATCATTATCCCCTTCCAAGAAAATTTGAATAAATCTTTAGCAGTATGCACATATATTATAAATATTAATTACGTCTCGATTAAACAAGTTGGCAGCAACGATCTTCCAGAAACACCATGCGGAGCATTAGGTTTATTTAATTATAAATGAAAATTAAGTCTCGATTATTAAAAAATTCAAAGTAAGCATACCATCGAGTTTTTCAAAGGAAACAAATTCCTTCGGGTTACGGTGATGAGGAAGTCTCTGATCTTCATCACTTTCATCCATGTACCATGCCTGAATAACTTCTTCCCTTTCATCCTGCATTAAACAAATTTTCCACTTCGGTAAAATACTTCCTTTTTTTTCCGTATATTGTTTTCTCACGCAAACGAACAAAGTGGAAAAACGAGATCGAACTCCTAACGAGCAGATAACTAACTGGAATTTTGTCATCGGAACTAGCTACTTCTACCGAGTTGAAAATTCACATCTATTATCACTTTCGAAATGACCAAACCCACGGAATCTCGGTTTTTTCTTTTCACTCTGACATAATCCAACATATCATTTGCCTAATTCTATACATACAATAGATACACACAGCAGATAACAAAGTTACTGAATATCTGGACATAATCAAACAAAAGCTTGGCCCTTACATATTATGGTTAAAATAATGAATAATTAACCAAAAAAACAGCAATTAAGAACTGTCCAGCATATTCAATCGAACTTTTTTGCAATAATAACTAAATTAATTATACAATCAGTAAATAATTGACCTAAAAAAAATTTTGGGGGTAAAGTTTACATTCATCTAAGCAAATAAAATTGCTACAATCAAGAGAAAACCATACGAATTAAAACAACATAAAGTAAGATTTACCTTGCTAAGAGAACCCATTTTCTCTCTGAGAAAGCTTCGAGCTCGAATGAATTTTCGCTTTGAATCGACGCTGAAAATGGGGATTAAAATATGATCTTTGATTTGGGGTTTACGTTTTGATATCTTCTTGTAAATGTTCATTTACGATTGTGTCCCTTCGATTTAAGTGGGTTTGCGTCCAGGTTAAATGAATGGATGACAGTCGATAGTGGTGTTTTGGTCATTTCATGAGAAAAAGGTCAAATTCCACTACGAATGGTGAATTAAATTGCTCGAAATTGGAATCGTTCCTTATGGTTGATATTTTATTAGTATTAATTGATTTTTTATTGGCCAAATTACAGCGGACAAGTTAATGGCAAATTACGAAAACTCTTCTCATGTTTGGGTAATTATACTACCCTTTCATCTATGTATTTTTTTTACAAAAAACTCCGTCCTTCAGTTTGTAAATTTGATACTACAAAGATGAACGTGTAAGACAATACATAATTGAGGGAGTTTTTTGTAATTTGACATTACTTTTGAGTGACCGTAATTTGCCCTTTTTTATTTGATTTTCTTTTTCCTATGGTCTACCTTCTTTTGTGGCATGGTGCATGTGTTTTCTTGTTGCTCGATTTTTATTGGAAAAATAATATTTTATTTTTTTATTGTTTTAATATATAAATAAATATATGCTGCGCACTTTTGACTATGTAGTTACTTTTTAATTTTTATTGGTAAATATATCACTTAGAAAAATAAAACACAATTTTTATTATTATCCCACAAAATTAGTATTGGGTAATAATTATATGATACAAAGGCATTACATACATGTATTTATTGCATTTAAGCCCTCAAAGGAACTAGTAATTGCTCATCCACACACATTGAAAAACCCAATATATCTTTTCAAACCATAGAAGATGCTCAATGAACTTCTAATCCAATCTTCTCAATCATGCCCTTGATGTAGTCCTTCCTTGCAGGATGATCCTCTTGCGGCCGATTGAACGGGGTCCACAACGGGCTCTCCCACAAATAATCGCATCAACTACAAATTTTACAATGCATATATATGTTCGTATTTCAAAACATACCCAAAATTATGCATGTTGTCCATTAATATTAATTTAGGAGTGTAAACGAGTCGAACTGAACTGATCAAATTCGAGGAAAATGAGGTGGTTAAATCAAGTTCATAAGACATTAATTAATTTACCTTGATATAGTTATTGGTATCGAGGGTGAACCTGTGGTAAATTCCGGCAGGTAAAACGATGAGGTCACCGGGTTTGATCAAGATGCGTATCCAACGGTCGTCGTTGTTCCTCACGTCAAAGTAGCCGCACCCTTCCACACAGTAGCGTATCTCTTCGTCCGCGTGTATGTGCTCCGTGTAGAAATTCTTCAGCTTCTGCTCGTAGTTTTCCACCTTCTCGGGACGCAGGTCCAGCAAATCCTTAGTAACAAACAAAATTGATTTCGATCATATTGCTCCAAAATCGCATTTTTTTATGATCTTGTATTGATAATGTTTAATTGAAAATCGAACTAAACTATTGCATTCTCGACTTGAAAAAAAAAATTATGTCCTCAAAATCAAGCTATTGTAGCTTAATTCTTGTTTGGCTCGATTAAGCTCGTTTGTTATCAAATCAAGATCAAACACAACTTTAAAAGTTCGATTATAAAAAAATCGAACAATTTTGAACAAATATATCTTTAGCTGAACTCAATTCATTTGCACTCTTATTTTGAACTAAATATTCCAATAATTTGGAACCATAAATTTAACTATGGAAATTGAATAAATTAAAAGAAGTGAATAAATTAAGCTTAATTTGCAATTTTACTAATTTGCCAGTAGTAAGTAAATCAAAGAACATAAAACGACGTCGTATTTTACCGTATAGCTATACCCTCTGGTTTGTCTAATGTTGTCCAATTCCGGGTCATTCTCATACTTATTCGGATCCAAATACCAGTAGAGAACTCCAAGATCCGCCAATTGTTCCATTGAAACAAATTCGGGCGGGTTTTTGTGATGTGGTAACCTCTGATCATCATCACTTTCTTGCATAAACCATGCCTATATTTCATATATTATATATATTGCAAAAAAAAATAAGTTGAGGGGCCTTTTTGCAAATTAACGAAATATGATGAGAGTTGTAACTTATTACTAACCTGGATCGCCATTGGGTTTTTCAGAATTTCTTGATTTTGTTGGTAGGGGAATGGTGGGTTGAAGATTAAATAAAATTAAATGAAAAATTGTTGGATTTGTTTTGGTGGATTGGACCTCGGATTGCGACACGTGGAAAATAGGTGTCCATTGGATTTTGTGGTATTTATTTATTTAACTTTTTCTGGGGAAAAAAATCTGAAAAAAGATTATTTGGTTAAGGAAGTTTCTAGATTGAGACCCAAAATATTATGGGCTTGGGCTTATAAATCAAGATGAGCCGATTGGAAGTAACGTATTTCTCTCAATATTATGTAGACAAATTACAAAAAAATCGAAATCGAAATCGAAAAATATCTTGGCACCGAGGATATATATAGTACGAATGTACGATGGTACAATCAACGCCCCCGATCGTCGGAAAGTCCACCTAATGCAGGATTTTAGGCCAGACGGCAATGAAATGATCCGTAGAAACACAACAAAGGAGAGAGAGATAGACAAAGTATTGATTGTATTAACTTTTTTTATGATTGTGAACTTAACCCTAATTGGGTTTATACAATTTGTTTATATTGAGAGTCATTTATGGTTCTTTCCTAATTTACAATTGTAATTTTGCTTATAATTTACTATGATTGCTTCATTATTTCATTACGGAAATTAATCTCAAATTTCATCCTCCAACAGCGCAGGGCCGGCTCTAGCATGCTGGGGGCCCTAGGCGAAGCGAAAATATTGGGCCCCTATAATTAAAATATAGTTTTTATTTTTTTATTGATGCAATGCATTAATTAATGCCAAAAGAATAATATAAAATAAAAATAATTTTACCAACTAAAATAGTAAATGAGAATATTCTTTATTGTAGGACCAGAAAATTCTGTATTAGCGCACAAGTAAATTCACAAGGGGTTGCGGTTTTTGTAAAAATATTTACATAAACAAATTCAAATTCATCAACAATATTTTTTTTAAATAATAGAACAAATAAAAAAATTGAAATTGATAAATTTTAATTCAATATTAGAAAAATGAGTGCAATTTTAGTAACAAGTAGAAATTTTAGGGTGTTTATAGTATAATTAAGTAATTAACTAACAAAAAAATATTTATTTTTAGTAGTTTGGTTTTTTTTCATCAAATTAAGGTCGATCTTAGGATACTGGGGTTGGGCGAAGCAAAACTTGGGCCCTAATATTATATACATATGTTTTATTTTGTATAATTTTTTTTATAAATTATAAAAGAAAAGTGAAAAATAAAATAAAAATCAAATGTGTCTACCAAAAAAAATAGTATAAAAACCAATGAAAGGCAAAAAAATAAGGAAAAGGTTATAACACAACACATTTTCACCTATTAAAGTCAGGTGGAAAGAAATGGTGATAATGATTGAGTGAAATATTTAGGTCAAAGTAACCAGGACCCACATAATTAAATAAACATATATTATTAATTGTCTATTATATTAATTAATTGAGAGGCCTACAATAAATATAAAGTTTATAATATAAAAAATTAATGTCTAATGTATACAATTTTTTTATATAATATATAACAAGTATTAACAAAAAAAAAAATTGTACAGGTGGGCCCCACTTAATGTGGGGCCCTAGGCAATTGCCTAATTGGCCTAGTGGTTGAGACGGCCCTGTCCAACGGTCATAACATCGGTTCGCCGCCTGCCCTGCCCTGCTCTACTCTCCATGTATTCGCCGCCCATACTGGGAGTTTTTTACGCGAGCTCTTAATCAACTTTGATCGTCCGCAACCTCATTAGAGCGAGCTCTTGGCCCACCTTTATTTCCTTCATCTCGTTGCGTTTCAGCCCACTATACCGAGAAGATGGGGGCATGGCCCACAGCCAGATTGACCCATTAGAGTACTTTTATTTATGTGGAAAACTAGCCTAATATCTTCTTCTTCTTTTTTTTTTTAACTTTGGGTGATAATTCATTAATTTGGGTAACAAACATTTAACGTGGGGAAAAAAAACAAAACAAAAAGGTGATATAAATAAATAAATATATATGTGGTCAAGAATTCTATCTTGAAGAAAGAGTAAAACTGAGCACCATAACCGAAAACAGTACATACCTTTGAAAGAAGAAAGAATTTTCTGCAACCACCTCACACGAGCCAGCATTTATTCTTCCTCATGCGCTCTCTGACTTTCACTGTTTTTTCCGCTAAATTCATACACACACATGTACGGTGAAATTACGATAAAATCCCTCGTGTTATTAGTAATTACAACCACCCATGAGTTATGCATTGTCTTATTCGTCCAACTTTATTGTGTCAGATTTAAATACTGTAAAATGGGTTTTTCGTAAGACAATATAAGTAATTGAGGTATGAATGTAATTGCCCGAACATTAGGGGTATTTTCGTAATCTGATTTTACCTCAGAGGAGGCCGTAATTTCCTCAAAAACATCGGGTTACGAGCCGACCCGGTCAATGTAGGGCCGGACACGTAGATAGATACATGACTGGTTTATTCAATGTTTCTGACTAACCCAGCTCTCATGTTCCCCTCTTATGGTCCCATATATATATATATGGATGTCATGTGCATAAACATTCATTTATTTCAACTACTTTTACTTTATAAGGTGAAGAAAAATAACAAATTTGTATATTTCGTAATCTTGATATACCAGAACCTCGATAAATTAATAATATGGGAAAATGTGAGATAACCCCCTACTTTTGAAGATATATTAGAGGAGATCCCTCCCCTTTCTCACTCTTTTGACTAAAACCCAAGTTTTTTATCTTAATTAGGCAGACCCCCCTAGCTTACTTGAAGTGACCCTTTTACCCTTTTAGTTTGCCATAAGCCCTCTAAAACTCTGCCGTTCACACGCCGCACACCCACAATCGTTTTCGATGGGTTGATGAGACAATTTTGCGCGACTGTCAGGCTGCAACTGCCGTCTGGAGTCAAACTTTGAGATATTCCCTTTTTTT